CCTCTGTGTTTACTTGTAAACTCTCTGCTTAATATACTGCTTATATCTGTGGTTTCAAGTTACTGAAATGAATACCAATAAAAACCTAGGCCACCTTCATTGGTTATACATGTTTGGAATGTAACCAATATATTTGTCAGGTGTGGTTTTTATTCACTGTTACACTTCTGTGCATGCTTTAACAAATTTGCAAAAGACCTACTAAAAACCTAAATTTAAAAATTTTTGGATGCTTCTGGATTTCTTGTTCCTGTTGCATAAGTAAAAATGGGACATGCATAATTTAAACCCTTGTCGGATTAGAATGCTTAGGTAAAGGAATAGTGAAAGCTCATGCTTTGACATACTTAAACTAACTTAATGCTTAAAATTGGAAATAATTGGTAATAGCAAAGATCAAGTTCTGGCGTTCCACATTATGTTGCAGTTTTTGGTGGTAGGGGGTTATCCGGTGTCTGAAAACATGTTTAGTTTTTAAAACCAAACAACTGAAGAAGTTTCTATTTTAAAAGCTTAAGCTCAAAAGTATTAAGAGTATTTCAAACAGTTCCATAAAATTATATATAGTATCTCCCACTGAAGGGAAGATGCCGTTACTTTAATGTAACATGCACAAAAAATCCTTGCCAGTTTATTTCTACAAATTTAACTTTATCATTTACTAATCACCCACTTGTGTTTAGTTCCAAATTTTAACTAACAACCGCTACAGAAAACGTGTGCAATGGAATCCTTGTTATCAGTTAATGGACGTTTATTTTAATTTATTATTTGGTAGCATTTTTATTTTTGTGACTAATTGAGCATAATTTTTTTCAAGGTTGGCATTGTAGCATGTATTAGTACTTCATTATGTTTACTTTTTTATTAAAATATTATTTTATTGGGGCCGTTTAAAGCTCTTAAAACAATCCATACATCAGTGGTATCAAGCATATTTGTACATTTGTTGCCATCATTTTCTAAACATTTACTTTCTATTTGAGCCCTTGGTATCAATCCCGCCCCCCAACCCCTTGATAAATTATAAATTAATTTCATATCTTACACTGACCGCTGTCTCCCCCCATGGTTTCTCTTGTTTGTCACCCATGGTGGGGACATTTTCAAAGAAGAACATTACCTAGATGAACTGCTAATGATACATAACAATTATTTCACAGATTAAGGTAAGCCTCTCAAATGCTGTATAATACGAGTATTTATTTAAAATAACTAAATTTATTGCCGAGAAAGAAATTTTTGATTAGGGAATGAGTATACTTCCGCTACTTAGTAAACCAATATCTAAACTCTTGACCATCAGATCAATTCTGACTCATAGTGACCATATGGACAGAGGAGAACCCTTGTCGCTTCCCAATAATATAAATTCTTAACTGCTGCTGCTTTCTCCTGCTTAGGGGCTGATAGGTTTATACTGTTGATTTTATAGTTAGCAGCCCCGTGTATAACCCACGATGCCACCAGGTTCCCTTCACTGAATAGAAAACTACAGAGACCGTTTTTGGTTTTTTGAAAAAAACTGCTTACCTAAGACCCTAATTCAAATCCACTACCATCAAGTCTTTTCAGACGCAGTGACCTATTTTACAGTAGAACTAAGAGGTTTTTAAAGCTATAACTCTTAATCAGGAGCAGAAATATTTATCTTTGACAGAGCAGCTGGTAGATTTGAACTGCTTATTTTATAGGTACCCCAGCATGTAACCCACTACAGTAGGTCTCCTGTCCAACCAATGAGTATGAGCTAACATGGCAAATTTAATGTGGAAATGAGACACACTGATGGAGTAGTAGGGACAGCTGTCAAGTCTCCATGTCTCCATATCTGAGGGTTCTGCCATTTAAAGGTTAGAGTTCGGCACTTCAGGCAAGAAGTACAGTAGTTGGGCCTAGGGTTAATGTTGACTGGAAGCAGACCTGGAAAACACTGACAGATTTCTTTGAAAGTCAGGAAATCGAAGGCTACACACTATTGCACAAGTGATAGTGGGAATTCTTTAGACAATGGTTCT